TCTCCAAATAAAAATTCATTTCGCAGAAAAATAATTAATACTTTGCTAGTTAAATATTACAGTTTTGGTCAGATACGCATAAAAATAAAAAATGCCGAGCCTATGGGGCCCCTCTTTATTTCATAAAAAAATGTTGCTGGGATAACAATACAAATAAAAAAAAATGTTGCCGGGACAACAATACAAATAAAAAAAAATTCTGATCACGGTAGTGGCTCTACGAGTACATGAATAATATTTTGTTCAGGATTCCCAGGAAAATGGTCATAGATCCTACCATTTTGATGTATATTTCTATAATTACCCAGTTTGCTATCATAACTACGAAGCCGATAATGAAAATTTGTCAATCCGAGTGGTAAGAGAGATAAGCTAGCTTGAACTTGGTTCATTAATTTATTAACACCATTTCCATTAAAAATCTTAATTTAAAAAAATAATATAGCAAGCCTGTAAATATATGTTCACGTAAGATAATACAATTAAGATAAATATCAACATAGTCATTATTCTTAGAGGTTTCAGGGTCATTAGTCTTGGGTAGTACTATCATTAGTGCTCATTTTTCGCGCCTAAATATAAAAATCATAAGTAAGTAAAATTCGTTTTTATAGTCGCCGTTAAACAAAATGATATTACTTTAAAAATAAATTATGATCGGGTAAAAAAATTATATATGAGCAAAATAACCTACCTACAAGAAGCAGTAAAATCGCTTATTTTTATACCAACCATTCGCTAGATCTAAAAAACTTGCTAGTTACATGATTAGTAATTGTGTTACTCTAATACTGCCAGAACATACTTAACAAAGCAACTCCATTTCGGTTGTAAGGCCAAATACTGAATATATTTTGCCATTTTTTAGTAAAATTAAAGTCTCTTTAGATTCAACGATCAGTACTACAAAGTAAAAAAGTCAATGATCTCGATGATCTGGAAATTCCAAGTTCCCCCATGACATATGAATTTGAATAAAACTGCTGATAAAGAACGTTATACTCATTCCATTCGTGCTTTTCTTATGGTGGGATCATATATGGTAAGGGAAAAGTTATATAACTTATTCGAAGTAATATTCGTTCTAGCATGGGAAAATAATTATGTGGTAAAGTATTACAAAGCACATACCTGATTTTGTGCAACTTGTATTACTGGAATGTTAATGGTTAATTATATTAAATTCATATATGTGATCACGGAATGACACGGAATGAATACAAGTGATAAGAATCACGACTTTATACCTTGTATCAACTCTGTATAGTAAATTTTGGCTAAGCCACTGTCTCTTGGAAAGAGGATGCTCTGCATCTGAAGTACTGTTGGCTTTTTCCTAGTAAACACATAAAATTGAATCAGTTATTCATAATATATATAATTGATAAAATCTAATAGGTCTAATAATCCTAAATTTGATATAATTGCATAATCTCTAAAATACTATAAGTTACTTAATCATTAAACATGGTTTGCACAGATAATTATTCAGTTTTGAGCAATACTGAATGGAGAGATAATTGTCAATTCTCTGTAATTCGTAATAGAGAAACCCCATCTGATTGGATAAAATGAATCTGGGATCAGTTGATGAACTATAAGAATAGTAATTGCTTGAATGATGATAAAAAGCGTTATCTTATTGCGAGAAAGATGGTGTATTTATATGAGGGTGATCTCGGCCATGCTA